TTTGTCCAGTGTTTTATACATTGTGCTCAGTTCCTCTTGTCGTTGAGCATCCTTGTACTGGTTTATCTTCTGCTTCACCATCCTCCTCTCCCTGCTCTATAAGCTTCCGTGTGTCCGTCGAGATCCATTCCTTGTCTTCCACCTTCTTCCTTCCTAATACGACTGTGCAGGTTTCTTTCCACATAGCTTTCAAAGACTTCCAGTGTTCTTCCACACAGGTTTCTTCAGGGATGTTGCTCGATGTCTCCCATTTTGTCTTGATGGCTGCCTTGAAGATCTCCTTTGTAGTTTCATCCTTCAGTTTCCGAGTGTTGTACTTGAATTGAGGTCTATCACCAGCTTCCTTGAAGGCTTTCAACCTGATTTGGAAGGTTCCTTGCACTAGGTAGTGGTCTGAACCTACATCTGCTCCTCTTCTTGACCTTGTGTTAAGTAGACTGCGTCTCCATTTTCTTGAGATTGAGGTAAAGTCAATTTGATTTTTAGTGTGTCCATCTGGTGAAATCCATGTCGCCTTGTGGATGTCTTTGTGCCTGAACACACTGCCTCCAATCACCAAATCGTTGAATGCGCAGAATTCTGCAAACAATTCTCCATTCTCATTCATTTCGCCTAGCGCCTCTCGACCCATGGTTAGTTCTCTTCCCGTGTTGTCCCCTCCCAGTTTGGCATTCATGTCGCCCATCAGAATTTTGATATCGCCAACTGACGTCTTGTCCAGTGTTGATTGAAGTTGTCTGTGGAAATCCTCCTTTTTCTCTTCATCTGCATTATTTGTAGGTGCATAACATTGTATGATTGTGACCTTTCTTCCTTTTGAGTTGAATCTTGCTGTCATGATCCTGGAGGAGATTGGTTCCCACTGCATGAGAGCCTTCGATGCTCTTGAGGACATCATGATAGCCACTCCATAACTCAGTGTGCTCGTGGTTGGCGTCTGGGTGACCGGAGTAGATTATTGATTCTCCAGTTGACAGTTTGGAGAGTCCACTCCCATTCCATCTGCTTTCGCAAATCCCAAGCACTTCGATGTTATACCTTCTCATCTCCTTTGCAATCTGGGCTGCCTTACTGGGTTCAAACATCGTGCGGACATTCCATGTCCCCACGTTTACTTTCGCTTTCATCGAGAGAAGACACATCGGCCAATTGGCTTCCCGAAGGCTTTCACCAACTGGCGTCATTTCGCCTCTCCGATTCCAGCGGGGAATAAGTTTGTTTTCATTTTTTATATTTTGTTTGTGCTTTGAAGTTTCTTTAGCGGTTAGATTTGTTTTACGGGGTAGGGTTGCTAGCCCTATGCCCAACCTTCCCTCTTTACCCGGGCTTAGGACCGGCTAGTAACTAGTAAACTAGTTAACCAGGCGAGGTTGGATTGTTAGTACGGGCACCTTATTGGTCGTAGAAAATAGACAAAAGTGAAGTCGGTAACCTACTACTAACAAACGCCAATGCATTTCTGCAGCATCATCCGAACTGACTGGTGCGAGACGGCCGGATCCAGCTGACTCCGACAACATTAAAGAGCGACAGCAACTAAAACGTAAACTGACCAAATGTCTTTGCATTGATTGCCAGCAGTGGTGGGAGACGAAAGTGGCAGAGATGGAGAAGACATCTGAGTTCCCTGGGACCCGGCAACTAGTTAGGCTTATTAAGGATACCTGTATGAAGATGATGGTGAGTGAAACCATCACCGACAAGGATGCGACTCTGACAACCTCTCAGAATAGCCAGGTAGAACGTTGGGCGAAACACTTTGAAGGACAGTTCAATTGGCCTACAACAGTGATTCAGTTGCTGAACATCCAGACTGAACTTGAATGGGATATAGATGTCGGTTCACCAACTCTCCTTGAAGTCAAGAAGGCTGTTTCGAATCTGCAATGGTGCAAAGCAGCAGAACCTGACGGTTTGCCACCCGAAGTTTATGAGGATGGAGATTAGAAAATCCTGCTTAAAGTGATGGAGGTACTAGATACTGCATAAGAATCAAAGGAAGTCCCATCAGACTGGTCTACTTAACTGACTATCCCATTCTATAAAACGAGACAGAAATCTCCTTGTGATAACCCCTAGAGAATCAGCTTGACTAATACTGTTATGATGTGGAGTTGTGAGGACGAACGAAGACACTTAACAATTGATAGTCGAGGGTTGAGAGGATTGAATCCGAGTGATTTGCAAAGAAAAATCAAAAGAACGGAAATCAGATGAGTTTATAGTATCTCGGACTGAAAATATTTATCAGTGAAAACGGACCCTACTAATAGAGTTTACAGTAACCTTGGAAGGCAAGAAATAATTAGTACATTTAAAGAGGCAGGAGCCAACCAGAACAATAGTGGATCGTACGAAATACAACCCATGCATGGGAAAAGAGAGTGAAACAAACCAGTTCAAATATACACAAACGGTAAGTATGGAATATTAGGGATATAGGCATCCCTAACAAATACTGTATTCAAGATTCTGGGTTTTGTAGTTATCCGAAGCCTAGTCGAAACCCTAGAACAGCAAACTCGATAAAACCAAGCAAGCTTCTGACCTAAGCGATAGTATATCGACCGGATTTTCCCCTTCTGATAGGTCCTCGAACACAAACGCTGGCGTTCAACACTTGCCAATATTTCCTTACCTGAAGGTGGCATCCAACTCTGCCGATTATGAGGTGTTGTAGTAGTGTCTTACTGAAGGGAGTATCAAGCAAGTATGTAACGCTAATCAAGACTGTGTACACGAACTCACACAACTGTGTCTAAGGGTTTATAGAGAGTTTTCATACGAATTGATGATAATTAGTGGTATCCACTAGGGATGCTTGCTGTCACCATTCTTGTTCAACTTCGTTATTGTAGTTGAGGATTTGGGATCACCGATATCAAGATTAATTGCAGAAGGAGTAATGCAAAGAGTGGATGGAAACTGTGGTATTGCGGTCGATCAAACCAAAACTTTGGACCCGATATGTAGATGACATGTTTGTCATCATTAAAAGAAACGAATACGAAAACACTTAAAAATTAATCAGTAACAATTTCGATGGCATCAAATAACAAACATGCATTCTTAAATGCTCTGATCACTGGAACGCATTGGTGAAAAATGGGGACTGAAATATGCAGAAAACCAATTCATATGGATCAAATCCTCAACTACAATAGCAACAAACCAAAAGCACGCAAAATCAGTTGTGTAAAAACATTGTTCACAAAAGCAAGGACACACTGTAGTGCGTCAACCTTGCGGAACAAAGACGAAAACTATTTAGTGACTTTTTCCAGAAGAACGTCTATCCGCACAACTTCCTCAAAAGATGTTTGCGTAATTCTTCGTCAACCAAGAAGTCATCCTCGAAAACCAACTAACGGATTGTCTTACTCAACATGAAGAAAGTCTTCAAGATCAAGACTAGACTATTGAAGCCTTTGGAATCGCTGTATCTCACATGCCAACAAAATTTCCACAGCCTCTGTTATGCAGGCCAAAAGATGCAATAACATAGGAAGACAAACCAAACATTATCTATAAAATAAACTGCAGAAACTGCGAGAAACACTGCATCCGACATAATGGTCACCCTCTTTGTATCCGCCTACATAAAATTCAACTAGCAGTGTAGGGTCATGAGATATCTTCGACCATATCAATGCATATGGACAACTGTAGACATGAATTTGACTGGGAAAATGTGGAAATTCTGGACAGAGGAAATACAAAGAATGTCAGGTAAGTTCTAGAAGCCTAGTACTCAGGTCAGTCAGCGAACAACAAAAATCGGCATTGATCCAATCTATCAATCAATAAAAAGCAACAAGGTAAAAAAATTCACGTCAGCAGGAAAACCAATCAAAATAAACATGGAGACAATGACAAGAATTTGACAGAAACAATCAAGCACAAACAAGGCCATCAGGACAAGCTACTGTGTCACTTGTGGAGAAAACCCTATAGTTCACTACTTCCCGAAGTTTGTGTTGATAATTATGTCTAGAAAGACAATGAAAGCTTCATGATTAAACCATCCACCTCAGAAAACACAACACCGTCAAACGTTCCAGGTTTGGTAGTGCATGCTAACGACATATTCACGCTTGAAGAAACGTTTATAACACACTAAAAAGCTCCACAACAAGCACTTCGTCAATTGTGAAGAAAGAAATCAACTTGATAATACAAACTGGGCTCGCAAAAGTAGGTCTCATTGAAATCATTGTTCGCAAACATATCACAGCAGTTCGTTTCAATAGTGTTGGTTGTAAGTGGCCTTACAGCAAACAATCCTCTGAAGTGATTATGTTGAAGTGCTAGGGAAGAAAGCATACTGCAATTTTATTTAAATTTGTCATAAATATATTTCAGAGAGAAACACTAAAATCCCAGGAAATAACATCGTATAAACTTCACCTGATTTCCATAATCGTCTGTTGGGAAACGGCAAACTTTCTAAAATCGGAAGCAAGAATGTGATGTTTGACATACAGAGTCTCATAGAACGTCGTATACGTGTGTATTAGTTGGGGCTGTCACACTAGGCAACAGAAAAGTAGGATAACGAATTAGAAAGTAACTACAGCCTACAACAAGAATTTGAGAGAAAATAAATATTGATAAGACATTCAGAATAATAGTGATAAATAATGGAAATACTTGAGATATGGTTCGCACAGGACATGGAGGTTATGAGTACAAGTATGTATGCCAATTTGAATGCACACAAGCATTGGTACTGATTCCGGCTAAAAATGTGTGGAAGAGTCAACTAACGTTCAAACCAACTTAGTGTGAATGTTGAAATCTGCAGTTACCTCACGAAAATAGCTTTTTAAAAGACGGGTCATTCAGTGGTGAATTTTGCTTCAGTCACCCTCTATCGCGTTTTGTTTCATCAAAATATACCATTTTTAACGGACTCATTCAAATTCCCAATGAAAAGTATGCGGAAGGAAAATGATTACAAAAGTTAATAATTGGAAGTTGTTTATCACCGGCAAACTTACATACAAACGGGATATTCAATATAGCCAATACCATGTAAAGATTCAGGACCAAGAGGAGCACACCGAGGGTAAGACGTAGCACAAGTTAAGTGTTTAGCCCAATTAACACATCTCCATGATGCACTCGATGCATCAACAATATCCATGACAATATTTGACCTTGTACTAGAGAAATCTGAACTATTTGAATCACTAAAGTTGACAACAGGTTGAGATGAGTACTTTAAAATCGATGATAACAATAATCGATCCCAACCGTCAAACAAATTTTCAATAGCATGGTTACTAGGCTCACTAGAATATATGCGAGATCGAGAAATTAAGTAGGGTTCCTTATATTCATTGGCAATATTTTCTATGAATGAATAGCATACGAAGGATTTAGGCATTACGGATGAGTAGGACTGACAATAAGAATGTCTGGAAATAAGAATGAGAAAAAGTCAAGTAGAAATGTGTTTATTGTGAATAAAATCAGTTAAGTTGCAAAACAATATCATTAAACCATTGTGCTGGTGAACTGACTCTTGAAGGCATTTCACCAATGTCACAGTTTATGAGCAAAGATATTTCAGTCAAATTGGGCATTTTGATGATATAGAGATGAAGACACAGTTTTCAGGAAATCCTTAATAACTTTGTCATTCTTGAAATAAACTATGATCACAGATCTGCCATAGTAATAAGTGCAGTATTAATTCAGGTGTTAAATGGTTCAGTGATGGATGTCAGACCACACCTCAAAACGAATGAGCATATATAATAAAAATATGAGTATATTAAACTTGCTAAGATTGATTTTATGTAACCACTACATGTTCGGAAAAGCGTAGTGATCGTAGAAATAACGAGATAACAAATTGTATATCCTAGAAAGTTTGATGTTCCGGTCTAAAAGCTTTCGATACTTTTTAGGCGTGTGTATTAACGATATTTCGTTTTCCTACTGCTGAATGGTATATATGCTGCTAGGCACTAATTACACACGTAAGTACTTACTCCTGAAATAAGCTAACTTCACAGAGAGAAATATATTTGTTCTGGCTGCTTGTAAAGAAAAACAATTGATGAAAAGCGATAAATCTACTGATTGGTGTCCAACTACGTGTCACTCAGTAGAATATCTCAGTTCACATTACTACATCAAATGTCAAACTCAGTGGTTTCTATCAAAAAACAGTGTTGACAACAAGGCTAGTTCTTTACAAAGACTACTTTGCCATTTTTGTTTGTGTATTAAATAAGGTAGGTGACAGAATAATGTTTCACCTTATTATTATTATTATTATTATCGTATGAGCGATTCTTATATTTCAGCTATGCAAGAATTGAGCTGACAATTATAACTTTTATACATGTATTTGACCTTTCACATTTGATAAACATAAGACCATGAAAAGATAAATTTTCAATAGCAGACACCTGACATTTGTCTAGACTTTATTTATAGGGTGAACTATTTATTTTTTGAGCTGTGCTAACGATAAGCTCTGGAACAACCTTTGATGAGGTAGTTCTTCTCAATCTGAATCTGGTTAGAGCACGGTTTATCACGACCTCACATGATTTGACCTTCAAGGGAGCCAAATGCTGACACAGATCATAAGTAAATATCATCACACGACAAGTGCATTCCGATTACTTCATAAATAGAGGCGCATATAATGAGATTTTTAAACTATACGTGATAATGATTGAAGGAAGAATAAAAAACTGAAATTTTCATACTCTTTGGCATTAAGTGATCCTGAGTTCTGTTACTTTTAACTAATAAACACTAGTTTACACTTTGAATTACTGATGAACTGAGATATAACCGAAGTTCTCAGCTAATAATGAAACGATCAGGAACATCGGTCTCCTTTTCATACAAAGATATAAATGAAACTCCATTACTTTATAACCCTGAAGCTTTTTTCCATCGAAATCTTTTATATAAGAAAGTTTGGTAGCAGATATCAGTGACCAACAATTTGAGTGACAAATATATGTTGTTTCGGATGCCTGCTTAGATCCATGGGTGATTCACATTGCCTGATTTAGTCAATGAGGCTTCATAACGATTAGCTTAGGCATTGAGGTTATTCTTGCAAGTCTGTGAGTATAAGAACAGCACTGAGTCCAAAGACAGAAAGCAGAATCCTGACCGGGACATGATAGATGAGTACCGACAAGCACGAACATGGGTTCAGGGTTTTCAGTCGAGTGACTAGTAACATCCAGCACCAAAGTGTTCACCTATTTTAACAATATTCACATTGGTGTAGGAAGTTGAATATTTAATTAGCAGATGTGTGAAGCTAAGCATCATCATCAGTACAATCTTATCTTATTAGTGACACTGATGGTCAACTCACCATTTAGCAAACACATTGTTTTACATAATGAATTCATTGAGAATAAACTATACACCCTACATGGCTAAGAAACTAACAATTTAACGAAAGAAGTAATATAAACTAACCGGTCGGAAACTCCATGTTTAATAGCCAATGTTTTAGAATCTAAAATTTCAAAGTACACGGGATAAATAGTAAAGTTTCGCGAACATTGTGTTCATTTCCCAGAGACTCAATACAGAAAAATTCTAAGTGGCGATAAAACAGATACACCGGTCAATAATATGTATTCGATAGAGAGATAATTATTTAGTACAGGAATCTGTATTAGAATACAAAAAATGTGCTTAAAAAGCAGGAACAGTAATATGCTTTGAAAAGGCCAAAACAAAAGAATATGAGATTATGTCAATTACATTGTGATTGTTCATGTCATAAAACTCGAAGGTTTCACAGTATTTTTGATAGCTATGGTTGTAAACTACTTTCTAATTCACTGCTCATCGCTACACCGTTTAGTTCAAAAGTTACGATGACTACACTAGAAATATATGTTTTTCCTAACAAAGTTCTTTAATTTTGTAATTCTTGAGATTGGTAATGTAGTATGAGTTGTGGTCTATACAACTTACACTTATATCTACATTAGCTTTGTTTCACATCTTTATTTTTGACTGAAGTGTGTAGAGTTAACTAGCGAAATATGAATCCCGAGACACTCAGATAGTTAAAAGTCATGACCACAGCATACATTACTCTATAGTTAAGAATTATAATCAACAGCAGAACCTTGCGCTAAGATTATCTGACTTTAACTGAAGTGAAAATTACTGTCACATGCCTGCTACTTCGAGTACATCTGACAAACAAAAATAATCTGTATGAGTCGAAGACAACAAATTACCTCAGGTGTGGAAGTGAAAGTGAAGTAGAATGAGTCATTCCAACTGTTCTGTGAATTAGAAAGCAAAAGTTATACTATTAATACTTTTATCCTTTAAGTATATACATAGGTAAAAATGCTGTACAATTATTACTGTTCACAAAAGAATTTCCGTACAGAGAACATCTGACATACACTTCGAACTTCGAGGCAAACAGCAAAAGAAAGAACTCTGATTTGCAGCCTTTTAAAACATGTCACTAATAACTGTTTGTTTTCTGAGCTTTGAGGTTTGTACTTTCACCGCCAGGTTAGGCGACTTCACCAGTATTTCCTTTGTTTAGAAGTGAAGCATTTTTAAGTTGCAAGGATATTTGCCGACCCTGACCGTCATTGGCTTTTGTGTAGGGATGACCTGTCCTTTTTTTACCAGAGGCTGACCATTCTACTATAAACAGTAGTACAACATAGATGTGGTATCAAGGAAAACCTTTACAAGGAGGCTACAAATATAAACACCTAAAGAAAAATCTAGAATAAAATACAGATACAAAAATGTCACCAAAACCACACTGATAACACCAATCGGTCAAATTGTAGGAGTTATTATTCGACCAATTTCCAACTACGAAAGTAATTCATAAGCTTATATTTATATAATGTTTTGAAGAACTAAGAAAACAAGTTCTCGTTAGTGAAATATATTAAAACTCAGAAACTCAACTGAAGATGCAAAATACAGAGAATCACCCTGTCACATTACTTAACACCTTGCTGGTCATGTTGAAATAATTTCAGAAGCAACAAGCACAATAACATGACATTCACTGGCAGCTACGTCGCAACATAATCTAGTCATATTAGGGGGTAGCCAGGGATTGGATAATTTACTAATAACGTGCTTCACGGAATGACAAGCCTTTGAACCCGAAAAGCATCAGTTTCCACAACCTAGATAGAAAATAAGCATAAAAAGTGCAACCCCAAGACCAAGAGATAAGTAGTCTTTCTGACGAAATTGTGAAAATAAAGTTATATTCTCTACAAGAAATAAACAGTAGCTATATCAATATTGACCAAAATATTATCTCCAGAGTCGCCCAGTTTACTAGATCATTAGTTTACTAGCCGGTCCCAAAGCCAGATAAAGAGGGAATGTTAGGCATAGGAATAGCAACCCTACACCCGAAAAACAATCCAATCGCTAAAGAAACTTCAAAGCACAGAAAAAACATATAAATTGAAAATAAACTTATTCCTCACAGGAATCGGAAAGACGAAATAACGCCGATTGGTGAAAGGCTTCGGCAAGCCGACTGACCGATGTGTCTCCTCTTCTCTCGATGAAAGAAAAGTAGGCATAGAGACATGGAATGTCCGCACAATGTTTGAAGCTGGCTGGCTGGCTGGCTGGCTGGCTGGCTGGCTGGCTGGCTGGCTGGCTGGCTGGCTGGCTGGCTGGTAAGGCTGAACAGATTGCAAAACAGACGAGAAGATATAGCACAGAAGTGCTAAGATTCCGCAAAAGCAGATGGAATCGAAGTCGACTCTCCAAACTGTCAACGTCAGAGTCAATTATCTACTCCGATATTGTCACACAGACGACAACCATGAGCACACTCACGGAGTGGCTATCATGATATACCCAACAGCATCGAAGGCTCTCATCCAGTGGGAACCAATCTTCTTTCTCCACGATCAGAATCATCGCAACAAGATTCAAATCAAAAGGAAAGAAAGTCACAATCATTCAGTGCTGCGCTACGCACCTACAAATAATGTGGATCAAGAGAAGAAGGAGGAATTCTACAGACAACTGCAATCAGTAATGGAAAAGACCCCACCCCGATTGGCGATCGTGACGTCAAAATTCTAATGGGTGGCGTGACATCAATGCCGGCCAAACTAAAAGTGGACAACACACGAAGAGAACTAATCACGGGTCGAGAAGCACTCGGTGAAATCATGAGTGAGAATGGAGAACTGTTTACAGACTTCCGCACCTTTAATGATTTGGTGATTGCAGTCAAGTAGTGTGTACAAACACAAGGATATTCACAAGACAGCGACATGGATTTGATTTCACCAGACACCACACCAGGACACACTGAAAATCAGACTGACTTCATCTCAATCTCAAGATAGTGAACACGCAGCCTACTGGACACAAAGTCAGATCAAGAAGGGGGGCAGATGTAGGTTCACATCACTTATACCACTATCCAGTGCAAGGAACCTACCTTCAAAATCAAGTTGAAAGCCTTCGAAGAAGAACTTGGTAATGATAGACCACAGTTCAAGTTCAACAACCACCCAGAACAGAAACTCAACTCAACTCAACTGAAGGAGGAAACTACAAAGGACATCTTCACGTCAGTCAGTCAGTCATCAGGAAGAAATGGGAGACATTGAGCAACATCCCCGAGGAAACCTGCATAGAAGAACACTGGAACTCTGTGAAACAGACGTGGAAGGAAACCTGCATAACCGTGTTAGGAAGGAAGCAGAAGAGGCAAAACAAGGAATGGATCTCGACGGACACATGGAAGCCGATAGAGGAGGGATAGGAAGATGGTGAAGCAGAAGATGAACCAGTGTAGTACAGTCAAGTGCAGGGATGAACAACGAAAAGAGGAACCGAACACAACATATAAAACACTGCACTGGACAAAGAAGTGAAGAAGAGTTCGCGAAATGATGAAAGACACTTCAACAACACACTGGCAAGTGGAGCAGAACAGGCTGCAGGTAGGAGAGACACAGACCTGAAAACATTGTATCAAATAACCAGGTTTCTATATGGGAAGAGATCAACACAAGTGAAACCAATGAAAGATAGTGAAGGAAACCTATTTACCACCAAAGAGGAGAAAACAATGGGTTGACTACTTCAAAAAACTCTTGAATCGACCACCATTACCACCACCTGCAACTCGTCCAGAAATACCACCTGCAGCCGCCACAGAACTATCAGTGAACACAAACCCTCCGAGAAAAGCAGAAGTCCTGAACGCCATTAAGTTGCTGAAATCTGGAAAAGCAGCAGGACCAGATGGGATTCCTCCAGTAGCACTGAAAACAGACGCAGAGACAACAGCGGACATGCTCACACCACTATTCCAGAAGGTTTGCAAGGACTGGATGGTACCTACCGATTGGAAAGGCTACCTAGTCAAACTATCAAACAAGGGAGACCTAAATCTTTGCAAGAACTGGCGCGGAATCATGTTTCTGTCCAGACCAAGCAAAATATTAGGCCGCATCATCCTGGAGAGGCTGAACAATGCTCTGAACTCAAAATGACGACCGGAATGGGCTGGCTAGATTCAGGAAGAGCAAATCATGTGTGGATCAAATTGCAACGCTACGCTAAGCATCATTATAGAACAAAGCATAGAATGGCAGTCAACTCAAACTCAACTTCATCGACTTTGAAAAGGCCTTCAACAGCATCGATCAAGAAGTAATTTGACAGGCAGCTGCTTCAACACTACGGTTTTAGTGCCACTAACCTTTATCAACCTACCCATCAAACAGCTATACGCTATGTGATGATACATACCAACTGATTCACAGCGGAATGCTCAGCGGTGCCTTTGAAGTGAAGACAGGAATAAGACAAGGTTGCCGCCTACCATCACAGATGATCTTCCTGATTGTGCTGGACTGGACTGGACTGGACTGGACTGGACTGTGAGGAGCGAGAAGATGGACATACGCTAGCTGGACCGATGAAAAGACCCTAGAAGATTTGGATTTCACCGGTGATGATTTATGTCTAATGTCTGGTTGCATAAACTCGAAGATCCACGGGTGGAAACCAACAAGTTGGTAGAAGAGGCAGGGAAACGGAGATGGGACCCCAAGTGAACGTGGAATAGACAGAGGTGATGAAGATACCTAACCACCGCCACCAACAACAACAAAAGCAACAAGCACCAATCACCATCAACGGGGGAAATTTAAAGGTAGTTGTATCTTTCACCTACCTGGGCAGGGCAGCATCGTCTCAACTACAGGCGGTGGCACAGACGAGGATGTCAAAACCAGGATCGGAAAGATACCAAGACACGCCCTCACCAATCTGAAATCAGTGTAGAGATCTACTGCACTGTACTCAGCATAAAGAACAAGATCCATATTTTCAACACCAACGTCAAGTCAGTGCTTCTATGTGATGGTTGAGAGAGTTGGCACGTTACGAAAAGCATTTCCAACAAACTGAAGACATTCATCAACAGCTGCCGTCTACGCTCGATACTCAAAAATCAGATGGCCAGAATGATAAGGATAAGCAACAAGGAACTCTGTCTGGCGACGAACCAACCAAGAACACATCGCCCAACAAATATCCAGAAGAAAGTGGAGATGGATTGGACTGGACATACACTGAGAAGACCATTCCGGGACATCAGGTCAGGTCCTCGAGTGGAACCCGCATGGGAAACGACGAGTTGGGCGTCCCAGCTGAGGGTGACATGGAGGAGATCGTGTGCGGAAGAAATGAAGGCTTCTGGGTAGTCGTGGAGCTAGGTTGAAAAGACTGAAGAGAAGAGACTGAAATGGCGACGTGCTACTGAAGCCCTATGTCCCACTAGGAACTAGGACAAATAATAATAATAACTAATATCTACAAGACAACAGGACATCAATATTACAAACATTTTGTTTCGAATCGAAGGATTATCTCATCTAAGTAATTATTAGGGACATGTGGTACACAGTAAATTATCGTAGGCACTAGAATCTCTGGTTTGAACATGATAAAATGAAAGTTGAAAAAATGTCGGTAATTGACCCGCTACTCTTGGACCCTAAGATTAACCCTACAGATTAACTTTGATGGCCAACAGCTAGACGAAATGAAGCAAATTATGATACTAAATTTCAGAAAAACAAAAAATAACTAACACCTGAACGTCTACAAATATATTCAAGCAGGTGGGCATGAAAGTGATTATTTTTGGGAGTCCTTATTATTCAATTGTTATTCTATTGGTTGGTACAATATAGGCAACAAGAGATGCGCCATCCCAAATAATAAAGCGACAATGTAACGATAGAGAAGACGGAAAGAAGGAAACAAAAACAAAAATGAGTTATTAGAAAGGCATCCGAAGAAGCAGCTACTACTTTCGGTTTACTGTTCAGAGACTGAAGAGAAAGAAAACGACTACATGATCTACACTGGTTTCGATCATGAGCCATGCAAGCTATCATTTCATGACAATGAGTCGTATGTTCTCTTGAACTCCATCCATGAGGTGCATGTAGATGCTAAACCAACACAACTATACTTCATCAGACAGCGACACTTCATATAATAACCACTTCTCCATTCAACCAAACCAGTCTCGCAGTAAGTGAAAAGTAAGTGGTATGTTAAGCCGCTGAAATGAGATCCCTAGCATTTACTCAAGTGACCGAAATCTGCATTGCAAGATAATACCACAAAATACATAACGACTTCCATCACGCTCAACCACCCCACGTCAAATCAGAATAAACCAAATGTCGTTTTCTCCATTTGGCAGAGGTCATGGAGAGATAACGGCGATCTAACAAGTTGAATGGGAGAACACAATCAGTTCGAAGAGGCTAGGTTTTATAGGCGTAGAACAAAAATATCCACACTTCGCACACTAGGCCATTTACGAACAGGTTAACGTCACAATGCTGCAAAAGATGACCCAGATTGGCTTTCAATATACAATTGGGAAATACATTATGCACACATTCATCAGCACTCACACAACCACCCAGGTGCACAAACTTTTTGACAACCTCCAACGGTTTACAGCCAAGGCGAATTGTCGATACAAGCTACTGTCAACCATGTAGAAGCACTTTGCACTTTGGTGGTGCGAAGCACATACCATAATTACGCATATTGATCGCGAACTGACTGAGTGCAATTTGAGTAGATTGTATGTTGTCGAACAGTAAAACGAGGTCATCCGTATACTTAAGGTCAAAAAGTTCTTCATGTGGTAGCAGGTCTACACCACTGCCACCACGCACGTTCTGTGGGGTTGTCTCACGATCTTCAGCAGTGTATCGACGAGGGCCTAAAAATTGCAGGGAACTCGCTGAGACGCATCGTTTAGTGGCGGGACGTTCTTCGAAGCGGCATGCAGTTCTGCTCACCGTTTTTAAGGCGTCTTGTAAATGCCTCCAATGCTCATCTGTGCTTTCTGGATTTGAATCCAACTAGGTTTGGTACTTAGTTGCAATACCAGGTGCAGCTCGTTTACTTACGTCGGCCAGTTCAAGAAGAAGTTTTCGATAAGTACCAAAAAGCGAGATAAACTTAACTCACTAAAGCGTGTTAAGAGTCCGAACGAGTGCACTAGAAGAAGTGGCAGTTCTGAATACACCCACGCCATTGGTAACTGGTTGCACTATGATCGGTTTCAGTTCACGCTTAAATGGTAGAGGGAGGACGTTAGGCAGCTCAATGGGGATAGATGTACTGGAAGTTGGTGCTAGCTAGAAACAGGTGGTCTGTGCAAAGTTGTAGATTACGCCCCTCATTCTCTAACCTGCGATCAACTAATCCCCATTGACCACCTAAACGAATCTCTTCCCGACCCACTTGTCCAACCTGTGTACTCATTTCCCCAGCTGGCACTATGATATCTGTCGAACGCATGTGGAAGAGAAAGTCATTCAGTTGATGATAGAACTCTTCTTTAGATGTATCTGTACTGCAGTTGGTCGGGGCATAGACAAAGATGATGAAGAAACATTGTTTGCCTTGCAAGTAACCTCTCACTTTAATAAAGCCGTCCAGCCTAGCAGCACACAGATGATTGTGGGTAGGATTCCAGTCGACTAGTGTGACTTCCTCTCTGACACTTAGTACCACACCAATACTGGTAAGGCGGACTGTTGATGGTGCAAGGTCATTGGATAAGCACACTGATGAATACACTATTTGAGCTAAGGGATACGGAAGTTAATTTAAGAATCTGACTAAGATTTTGTTTGCGGGACTTTGAAATACAGCATATACCAACAGTGAGGTTTTTCAGAGTCCTAACCAAACCTGTTCATTTTCCAATATGTATTAAGGTACAGATGTTTAAAGTGGTTAGCTTGAGTGAAGCACGTGGTTTCAGAACAGTTGTATTAGATATAATGAAAGACAGCTTTCTGGAAGCAACTTATCTAGAGAATAAACCATACTCTGATATTTGGATTCATCCCAGAAAAAATGAATTGAGTTTGTTCACATTTACAGAGTTTAGTATTGTTAATACTTTGTAACTATGAATTTCCTCATAATCTTAGCTACCAAAGACTTGGAGAGGGTAGGATTTCGGATTTCGTCTTTTCTCTCTACTTGACTACAGATATAGGTAAGGGAAAAGCTTGGGCACTGTGGTACAGTATACTTCCATATTATATTGTTTATTTGATATAGCACACTGACAATATAATTTACAGTATTTACAGAAAACTATACTGTCACTGTGTGCTGTATCAAATAAACAATCTAATACAGATATATATTGGTAGACAAAGTGGTGCTAAATGAGATTTGAAGAAAAAAGTAAAAAGGAGACAATGGCAAGTAAACCAATAAACAAAGAACAAAAATACGTGGTATATGCATGACACCTACTATTGTGTTAAAAGTTGTCTCATCGTGTGATGCTATCGACTAAATGTAATAATATATATAGCAAAAGTTAAAACTAACCAAGACGAACATTGATATAGGCAACATCATGCACTGTACTCAGATTATTTTGAACTTTGCATTCTACGACTGAATCCTCGGTTATGTTATGTTCCATTTCAGTAACAACCTTTGATTTATAAAAACGGAATATTGTAATTATATAAGCAACCTCCTTGAAAAGATATTACATAACACGTAGGAATCAGTCTGCTGATTGAAATGAACAAAATAGATTCATGCTACGAGCCTATAATTACAATGCATTAATATATGAAGCTCGTAAATCAGTTGAATAACATTTTAAAATGCTTTGCATCTTTTTACAACAGCCGTCAACTCAATAATCTAATGGCATAAACTTCTTTAAGATACTAGCGAGACTTGAATTCAGCGTCAGTTATCGGTCCCTAAATACAAAATAACAATGCCTAGAAATTTATTTTATCAATTTCAGTGATTTCCACTAAGATAGAACCAATCAGAACTGCTTTTTTCCATATGATGCACAAAGATAAAAAGGCTGACTAACAGAAACAGTTTAGCCGTTAGACAGAGAGTATTTCCCATAACAATCCAGGCACTTCCACTAAGTCTAAAAGCATCATGCTCAGTTTAGGAAAATTCAAACAAATAAAAGTAAGAGAGCAACATAATATACAACAAATAGACACTAACTGCTCAAGTTATACAATTAAGTGTAACAAATGGTACTTCCGATCCAACCAATTCTTACGAGGAAGAACGATAGCGAATAAGAGGTTGAAAATTCTTCAATAGTGCTATTGCCCGTCACCTTGTTGATAGTAGACATGAAGTCAATATTCAAATATCGCTCAAAACAATTAATCAATAGATAACTTCGGATTTGTTGTGTTTCACTGAAGCGGTAGCCATTAAACGATTAAAACTGAACTTGTCTTCAGAAACAAACAGTTACCGGTCTGTGCCTACTATGGTGAAAACTTTCGCGTTGTTCACATATCATGTTTTTTACGTGTCATTATCGATGCATACACGTTTGTTGCTTTTCCCATTTCACACCCTTGACCTATTTGCCTGAATCCTACTCATCTTATTTAACATAAATCCTATGACCTTCTCAACACATTTTATGTAACCTTTCTCAATCTGTTGAATACATTTGTCCCCTACTCTTCCCCTCTAGAATCTTCATCTAATCCTTCTATGTACTGCCAAACTTACTATCAGTTCTGCATAGCTATCCCCTCAATTTGTTTTCAAGCAATTACGTCATATCGATGTTCTCTTCATTTTAAGGAGATAATTTCCTATCAAATTGATTCAAGTAGACAAACACTTATATAAACTAATGTTAAGAGTGTTTTAGGTTGTAAGCAGCTGATGAGAAACTGTGAAATAAAACAGATCGATTCCATTTCGCTAAAGGTGTTGTTCTTGACTCAAATGTGATGTAGTAAAGTATTTTCTCGATCATATCAACCGACGGATGCTATCTTCGCGTGGTGGTCTGCCTTACATACAAAATGGCCCAACGAGCTACGCTGCTGGGACACTTGTTCCCTTGAAGTCTTACCATAGCACAAAAGTCTCCTGGATAAGACGAAGTGCACTTACCGTTATAGTGTGAAGTGCTACACTATTATAAAGACCCAACAGCAAAACCGTACTACTGGCTGGACAGGATTGTTGCAGCACCAAGGTGTTTCCCGTGGAGGACCTGCATGGTACACTCCTTGCCGATGATGGCTTCCATATGATAAGCGTGGGGTAGGTTAAGAAAGGTCAGGCCCAAGAATACCACACTCTCTTCTACACTACAGTCTACCGGTGCCAGCCGTATGAATTCGAAACACAAACTTAGGCGTCAAACTTCCAAAATTAACGGATGTGGCAGGCCTTGAGCCAACGCAGTACTATTACTAACGCAACTTACCCTTTAGCTACCCCAAAAGGAACCAACCTTTAATGGTATGGAAAGTCAGGAGGTATCAACCAACCTCACTACTCTATCAGCACTCAATTCTCATCAAATCACTGCCCACCTTCCATATCCTTATCTTCTAATCTTCCTCCACAACTCCCGGCCAATATTCCTCCTTCATCTTTAATTTTTTCGGCTCCGCAGCGCTCGACAACGATTCAAGTTCACGGAACAGCGTCAGTCTTCGCCTTAAACGACGCTCCAAACTATATACTGGGTTTTTAATGTCGTACTCACCCTCAGAGTGGCCGACACGCTAAGCCAAAGAAAACTGTTGTTTCGGACCATTAAAGGTGTGCACTGTTCGTGAAACAAGTATACTGGACCCAAGTGCAGTCATTCGCATAATTTCGCCGAGTTAATTTGATGAGTCCGTTAAATTCACCCTTCGAGTTTCTGAAGATTTGATGGCTAGTTCTCGCGATCTTGAAGGTGAGGGCAGAAAGTGCAGAAAGGCAGAAAAAGCACTACTCAACTGGATCACATTCGACAATCGCTCATAAGCTGTTCGACTGAACGTCACACAGAGGACTAAAAGGAGCAGTGAAACTGGCTGCTATATGTATGTAATCTCTGCACATGAACCCATTAAGAATAGTTCAGGTGAAGTGAAGGGTGCTTTGTACTGAAAACTATCTAGCCTCCCACTGAAGGTCAAATGTCCAGACCTGGTTGTCATAGCAGGTGATTCCAAAGCATAAGTGGATAAGCTAAGTGAGTCAGAAAGGCACTTAGGTGGGTGACACTTTGAGAATCCCAGCTAGACAAACAGACAACAGGCGATCGCCAAGTGCTAGTGTGCTCAGACAACCATCTATTTCTTTATGGTCAGTACGAACTTCAGACATAAAGAGAGGTATTATCTGACGTGGTGTCCTCCGAACTCAACTAAAATCAACTCACAGAGATGCAACATTGCTATCAGTTATCATTAGAAAAGGTCGGTCGGTGGAAGATTGTCGTTCCACCTTGAGCATGTGTTCGAACAACGATCATACGTTGTTTCGAAGACGTGTACGTCTGCGTTTCAATGGACGTAGGAAAATCTCATCAAGACCATAACACATGCAGCTCGACAATGAGAGAACTAAGGATGCTTTCGGTGAATAAGTGACTAGACAGTTATAGGAAGAGAACAATACTACTCATCCGAAGAAGCTTGGTACTATCTCCAGCCCACCAAAATCGGTGGGTTGAAGACTCTGTCTGACGTCTCAGAATCGATTTAAGTGGTGATGATGCATCAGCACATTAACTTCAGCCTAATTGTCATATCACTTTCTATACTTGTTTACTCCATTCTCTTCTCTTGTTAGGAATACTTATGATCACTTTCTTCCTTATTCCTCCAGCTTTCATCTTGATGTCCCCTTCCTTGATACGAGGTGGCACACCAATATTGAGTGAATGTCATTTTAACGCGACACTAATTTTTACTTGAAAGATTACCTTACTTTCCTGATCCAAACGAAAATTACTTTTGCTGCTATTGTTACAGAAACCATTTTGCACTTTGCATCAATACAGATCTTAACACAATTTCGATAAATTAATTTGCTTAGGTGAACCTTTAGCGCAAATATATATACTTATTCAAAGAAGAAATTTCTTCTTAAACAGTTCCGTCGTAAAAACCGAGAGACTTTATATAAATATTATAAAATATTTTGAGAACAAACCCGTTTCTAAGTGGATGTCAGTTATGATAACGAAATAGATTGGTTTAACGGCAATTTGTTTTCTAGAAACATTTACTTACCCAATAACGGAATTAACCTTCAAAACTAATACCTTTTTAAGCACACATGAGACGATGGCAGACGAAAAAATGTAGGGTGGTGAGCTTTGACCTACCTCACCGTTGAGTATCATTACATCATCTCTTGGGTCAGTCCCTCCGAAAATGCATGGAAATCTGTACACAGTTCCCAATCCACAGTTGTATTATGCACTGTTTTGGCCAGAAACGCTTTCACTGTTTTCAAAAACAAAAATACAAAAGTAGGAGTACAACTTGGGCACTGTGGTAAATTGTAATTCCATTTTAGTCTGTTTATTAGAAATGTCACACAGTGAAACAGTTCCATTTAATGGATAACGTTTCAAACACAATTTACTGTCCATATTCATATCAGGTGACTCCACAACTTTGAGACACCATTTATATAGTTCCAACATTCTCTCCTTCTTTGTGACAAGGGTAGTAGAAATTTCCATATATCTGGGACAGGTGTAGAATCATTTCTATCGCATGTATTTGGTATTGATTCGATAAACAAAGATTCTCCTTCCATCCAACTAAGTTAGTCTTTAGTGCTGTCGTTTTATCTCACCCTACTTTGTGCTTGAATGTAATTGTGTGCAAAGCTATAGCCGAACTTTTTTCGAAATTTATCTTATTAGGATCTACTAATCTTAATTTAGCTAAGTTTCTGTGCTCTGGTTATTTCAATCGACCGTGGTCGACTACTTTGATCTATGTATTTGACCTCGCAACCATTACCAGGGATTTGGCAAACCAGGTTATTTTCCTTAACTGCATCAATAGCTAAATCAAGATTAGTAGATCCTAATAAGATAAATTTCGAAAAAAGTTCGGCTATAGCTTTGCACACAATTACATTCAAGCACAAAGTAGGGTGAGATAAAACGACAGCACTAAGACTAACTTAGTTGGATGGAAGGAGAATCTTTGTTTATCGAATCAATACCAAATACATGCGATAGAAATGATTCTACACCTGTCCCAGATATATGGAAATTTCTACTACCCTTGTCACAAAGAAGGAGAGAATGTTGGAACTATATAAATGGTGTCTCAAAGTTGTGGAGTCACCTGATATGAATATGGACAGTAAATTGTGTTTGAAACGTTATCCATTAAATGGAACTGTTTCACTGTGTGACATTTCTAATAAACAGACTAAAATGGAGAAACACAAAAGCTTACATAGGGTAAATAGTTTTAAAATATACTATGCAACAAGCACTGAGGTCGACAGTCTTCAACCAGGAGAATTAGAAAGACCACTATTATGACAACCAACAGAAAGAAAGTTTTATCTTTAAAAGTATGTATTAGCATAAAATAAATATTATTTAACAAGCAAACACTTTCACTATACAAGAACCTATTGACGAGTCCCCAGGATCCGTTAACAGACGCGAATCCTACACCAGTAAATTGTAATATTATTCTCAACCTTGTACCATAATTGCAGTCGTTGATCATAAGCTGACTACATAAAACTTGTGACCTGAATTTCACTACAGAACAAAACTGTATACTTTTTATGCTCGAAGTAAAGGCATTTCACCCAAGTAACCATATAAATCAATATTTCATCCTTACCTAGGTTTATAGCAAAGGTAGTAAAAACGTGAGTCACTTAAACGAATAGTGTTGCAACCACTGAGTTTACATCATTACCAAAAACCTCATTTGGACCATATTTAGATAAACAGATCACAACTAGTAACTTCATTTCAATCTCCTTGCAGGTCCGTAGTTTACTACTGAATACAATTAAAAGTTTGCGATAAAGTAAACATTCTAGCCTTAGACTGACATTACAAAAGTATAAATAACAAAACATGAAGTATGGATATTTTATACGGACCTCATTTATCTCATTATCTTAGCATTCACACAGAAATTTCGAATGCACATTCTTCAATGGTGTATAACCAAATCTACAAGAGCATATATCAGAAGAAATAACTATTTCTGGTATTACAAAATACGGATGGAGTTAATGTTACAGCTAGGAAATGACACCTTAAAGCTTTGATGCTTAGGCCACTATGTAGAAAGCAGCCTAGAGATTTTCACTCCACAAATCACAGTGACGACTGCACTTCCCATTCATCTTTGACGTATTCAAATTGCTTAGCAGAGAAAAAATTGAGTCTTTATCATCCAGTAGGTGATAACTAAGTAATCATCACTGACTGTTTCGCAGCTTACGACACCTTGCAATAGAATATATGCACATAACTTACTACTGATTTCAAAACTTTATATTTTACCAGAAAGTTAACTTTTCAACACAAAATCTCAATAAAAAATACCACATACCTATGGGAGCAAAAATGTACACATAATTAAGGAATGAGTCCAGTGAACCATTCGGATAAGAGTTATATGATTGACAGATAAGTATTTTATCTGCATAATCCATTCGAAGCCGAAAGTCAAGACTTCCATTTGAATGCATAGTGAGATTATTTTCAGCTATTTCTAACGGTTTCCCATTTTCAAGCCACTCATAAATACGATAATCATTTTCCAGTGTTCCACATGACAGAATAACACGATCACCTACAGGTGCTGATATTAATATAGCTTCTTCCTCTAGCGTTTCAGTACTTGAAGAAGTGTACGCACATGGGATGACTAATGCAGAAATAAAAAACGTATGTATATATGAACATAGAAAAAGGTTGGTAATGTATAGCTTCTATTCTATTCTAAAAAAATGGAAGTATTCTAAAAAAAAATATGACGTTAAAAAGTCGGAAGTGTAGAGATCTTCAAAGAGTTATCTCTTAGAAATGCTTAATTTTAAACTAACCAAATCATGAGAATGAAATGTATGCCAAACAGATGATTCACAAAAAGTCAAAAATTGATCCAGCTAGCCCCAATAAAGTAGAAATGCATATAGTCCTACTAGTCACCGTCTTGGTAAATATATGCCAAATACGAAATCGGCATGTTTAACTTTGCCACTGAAGAATGCATAAGCCCAAGTTGTCCACAATATCAATGTATCACGTTCATTAAAAATACAGTTGTTTAAAATACCGTAAGACCTAGAAAGTACTTCTCAAGTAATCTGAACGAAGAAAAACAATTTGAACTAACGCACTAATTTCAAAAACCACTTACACTTTGCACTTTGGACTTTGGGATTTCCTACGAGTTAAATGAATAAAAGCGGTTTAGCCATTTTGAGTATATTATTCGGGCGACTCATTTTCGAGGTCTAGACTTCTGTATTATTTAGACATAGCGAATAATTCTACTTGATGGTAACGTTAGATCATTTATACCGTGTAACGTTTGTCCACGCTTGAGGTTAGTTGCAAACCATTCACTTAAATACTGAGATGATTAAGATGCAATTTCACACGTAGAAAATACCCGAAAATTCCAATAATCCTTGTTTGAAAAACCTACCCGACAATCAACTACCTTAACAGTAGTATTTCCCCTTTACTTTGAATCTAAGAGATACAAACCTGACTTTTTTATATCAGAATAACACAGAAAGAAAAATATCCACTCATATGAAATATCTATGTTATATAGATAAATACTGCTAAAGTACAAAAAGTAAATCTATATACACGAGACGCAAACAACTGACAAGTTAGTTGACAGGAAAAGATACTGGAATTGTAAAGCTTCTGTGTAAATTAACAGATGGTGAATATCGATCACCAGTGTTTAAAGGCATTGCAATTAGCAAAGAATTAAAATGCACCTCAATACGTATCTCCAAACACACAAAGTTGAATCCAGTACGAACTTTTATCGGTTTAAGCTACAACAATTCACAGCAACATGCATAACACAAGTGCATAGAAAAAAAAGTGATATGAAAGTAAACAAACTATACAGAAGAAAGGACTTGAAAAATGAGAATGTTCATGCTTTGGAAGAGGTCAGAGTGTAGACATCTGCGCCACTGTGACGGACTTTCAGTCACAACCTTAAGGACCACTAACCACTGATTCCTGTAATCAGAGGAATACAGCCATAGACTACATTTGGATACACAATTCAGGCCAGTTAACAGAGATTTCAAAGATTGGCATCACGTAGTAGTCTGGTCATCCCTTAACCTTCTTCCAATCCAATCTTACTTCGGCTAGCCTTGCAGGTCACTCGGAGCGCAGTAGACACATCTTTTGTTTCGTCGGATATCTCGACAGTCAGTAACAAAGATGACGCAAGTTGGTAAATACCAAACGGGCCTCCTGTATCCGAGTTGAGATTTCACCAGAACCAGCAACTTCAGGATGACACAACTACCTAAGCAAGTGAAGTGGTCGACGCATTCCACAGCTTCACTCCTATTCTTAAACTGGGAGTAGTTGTAAGACAGTTCTGAAGCATCATCTTGCATTTGACCGGTGCAAAAGCCATGCCAAACATACTCATACTTTTGCTCAAGGAATTCAGAAGACCCTGTGTTTCGTCAGCATTTTCGCTAACAGGACAATTTACTTTGTGTACTCCAGGTCAACCAGACGACCTCCTATGAGTGGATTGATTCTCATAACGTCAGAAGTACCTGAGGTTATGTTCATTAATACGTCTGGGACAAAAATCAGAAACAATGACATTGGGCATCCCTTGATGTGCAATACGGGCCTTTGCCCCTTCATATGTCACCACTTCATAAGCCTTTACATGTCTGTGTATGCATCAATTTATCAGAACTGCAAAAGACTGGAAAGACTAAAATTAGGTTACTTATTACAATAAACCAGTTTTTCTAGTTACAAAGGAATTTGAATGCCATGACTTTCCAACAAGGACCATAACTCCCCCAAACAATGTGAAACTTCAAGAGTAACGGATACAAACAAATGGTATAACGTATCTCGGTGAACATATACAAATTCACGCACTGAGTAACTAGTTAAATATATTGTGTCAAAGTCAGTGATACCACCTGGCTGTCCAAACTTCGTAAAGTAGGGCAGACTCAAACTTAGGATACTGGTTGAAAGTTGACCGTCTAAACCAGTGAGTTACAGCTCGGTCATCTCTACAAACAGACAAACAGCTACATAAAAATTTGCACTGAAGTGCAGTTATTTAAGTTATCCCACTGCTCAAAAATACTGAGGAAGGAAATACGAAATGAAAGGCTATAATCAAGACCAAAGGTAAGTGAAGGGAAAGAAAATCAAACGAAGTTATTAGATAACGAAAGCTAGATTAACTATTCGTAAAACAGCAGAATAGCGACTGATTTTGAGCAATATGAAACAAAAATCACAATATTATTTAAACCTGTTAATTTTCAGACAGAATTTGTCAGTTAAAGGAGCTTGCTAACCCAAGTGAATGAAACATTATTTAGTCTAGCACTATCTTGTCTGAAGCTAAGCGCATATACTAAAGCGGGTGATAGATTCAGTTGTTCAGATTTAAATTTAAACTGGTAGCCAAAGAAAGGTTTGGCAATGGCAGTCCATGCACCAACCACACAACAGGTTGAGTTATATTAGCGACCCTAAGAACCGAAATATTAATTCGTGGGGAGAGAACCAGTGGGTCCTCAATTTTTGAATCGACAACAAATGTATGCTAAGGGTGGCTTTCTACACTTAGATCTGAGAAATCCTACAAATGAAACCTAAGCTTGGAAGCAAAATCATAAAATTTGGGTCTGAAATGTCGTTTACCCATCAGTATGACAGTAGGTAGCATATTTTTTCTAAGGTCTTTCACTGGATAGTGCTGCATAACTTAGTGCCCAATTGTATCCCCAAAACTACAGAATTTCACCCTACCAAAGTGTCCAAGCTCTACGTCTAAGAATCTGACGTCAAGCAAGCGTTGATACCGTTTGTTTAAGAAGTTTTATATGAGCTTACGTCAAAAGGGGACTAATAATTATTGTATGATCGTTTCGCTAATTCGTGCCACACAAACTAGCTTTACGACACAAATAAAACCACCTTTTATTTACCGGCAAAAGAATTGTGTTCATTTTACTGCTAGCTGGGTCGGCAGTTGATACTGTTAGATGGGAAGCCAGATCTGAGTTACCAGCTAACTAGAGGTAGTTTCGATTCTCAATTGAGTTATGTAGCGAATACGATGCAGTGGAACGCTGAAACGAGAGCCAAATTTTAAAGAAATGGACATTCGGCTACGTTCAGATTGATATATCATGAATTAACTGAAGTACTCAGAAGTAGCTACCTCCTAACTAATACTCTTATGACGACTGAGGACATTTGGTATGTGAAATTCCACTGCAGTATACCAATTCCCCTGGTTCCTCTTAACGGTTTCCCCCTAATCATGTCTATCACTACATGCAACAATTATGGTCTGAAAGCTCAACACAGTCTAAAAAGTGATCAATGTGTCACTCTAAGAGGATAATCTTTACGCAAACAGAGTGAAATACGTAGGTACTGAAGCTGAGGTTATGGAAGCTAGGCACATTTCCTTCAACCAATGGTAGTATTTAAAATACTAGAACCTACCCATAGAACTAGGGTGATAGTGTTTTCCGTCAACCGAACAAAAACAAACGTAAAATATTCTACAACATTCCAGTTACGTTTACCAAAACAGTTAGTCCCAAGTGGAGGTAAAACATACTACTATCAGTAGGATGAGAATATGCTCACCAATAAATATAAAGAGTGTATAAATCATGGCTACTGGCACGAACTAGGGTGCTCATCACAATACTCCAGAAACTTAAACTGCCCACTTCTGACTGGCGTTATGTTTTTCTGTTGACCTTTTCAACATCCAACAACAAGAGTGCCAGTAGAGGAACTTGTAGTTTTTACACTCATGCTTTTAGGTCTTGAGACTAAGTCCTTTTTGTTTGGTTGCGCTGCTTGGGTGGTCACAGAAGTCTTTAAGTTTTTCCTGCTTACAGCTTTATATGTAGAGAATGTCTATTTGAAGGTCTTAATCGTTGCAAATTGTAGCTCGGTTTGTTCAGGAGGCAACAAAGCATCTGATAAGGTCAACTACCCCTTTCAATTCCTGTTTTTGCAAGCACTCTTAAGTAAGCATTGAGTATTACCTAGGGAGTACTAGAAATAAGACCAGTAGGAAATCAGAAAAAGAGGAATGAAAATTACTTGCGGGAAAATAAGTGTTGCTTCCAATTATTCAGAGAAGAGACTGGCCCTGGTGCAGATATCAGGGTTGGGGAATGCAGGGATAGATGACCATCCTCTTAGTTGCAACCGATGAATGTTTGTTGTAAGCCGTTTGTCCGCACGTACTTATCTGGAAGTCGTTTCAACATCCAACTGCATCCAACATCAATAGTGTGAGTAGAGGAAACTTGTAGTTTTTGAACCCTCGCTTCTAAATCTTGAGGCTTGGCCCTTCTTGTTATGTCGTTCACCTTTAGTGGTTCCAGCATTCTTTGAGTTTTTCTGCTTATAGCTTTGTAGGCAGTGTTTGTCTATTTGAAGGTGTTTTACTTGCAAATTGTATCTTGGTTTGTTTTTCTTGGGGGAGGGGGGAACGGAGCTGCTGATAAGATCAATCAACCGCTTGAAATTCCTGTTGCAGTGGGTACCTGCAAGCAAGTGTTAAGCGTTACTTAAGAAGTGATAGAAACGGAGTGGGGAATGAGGAAAAGAAAAGTGAAAAGTACTTTTGAAACGATAAATGTTACTGGTAATAATATAGAGGAGAGGTGCATCTTACTGCAGATACTAGGGGTGAGGAATACAGGGATGGAAGGGCGTATCATCAGTTGCTACTAACAAGTGTTCGTGGTAAGCCATCTACGCCCACATACTCATCTGGTAGTCGTTTGAAGAGGTTGACTGATGTGGCTGTGGCCACTCCTTTCAGCAGTGCGTTCCGTAAGGCACACACTCTATAGGAGAAGAAGTTAGATCGCACTCCAGTATTCGCTCTATAGTGGGGTATGCGAGTTGGGTTATCATGGGATTGTCGGTTTTGGACCGGTAATATTGTGCTATTTGGGTGGTCCACTTGGTGAATGATCTTGTAGACTGTCATCAGATCACCTCACTTTTCTTCGATGACTTGGTGTGAACAAGTTGAGTTGTCTGAGGTGTTGCGCATATGTTCTATTTGTTAGTCCGACAACCAACTTTTTTGCCCTTCTTCGTACCTTTTCGAGAGAATATTAGTCTCTCTTTAGTACTGGGGGACTGTCGTGTTGAATACCTCTAGGTGTGGTCTAACATAGGTCTAGAATACCATAGGGAATAACTCTAGGGTTAACAATCCAAGTTGCCTTCTTAGAAAATGCATACTGGCGTTCGCCCTTGCTGCCATTCCTTTATAAATACCAGTAGTATCTAGGGTGTCAGAGAAGTTTAGTCCTAGGTTTTTCTCTGTGGATACCTTAGTGATTGCACGCTTGTTAAGAGTGTAGTTGATTTTCGTCGCCTCTGGTGTGCGAAGATGTATAACCTTTCACTTCCCCAGATTAAAGCTTAAACCGTTTGCAGCTGACCAGGACTCCAGCTGCAATAGGTCGTTTTGGAGCATCCTAGGATCCTCTTCGTCACCTATCATTCTCCATATTTTGATACGTCAGCGAATAGGAGGATAGATGAGGAGATTTTAGTGGGGAGGTCGTTTATGAATAATAAAAATAGGATTGCTCCTTCAGAAACCCATATTCTTGCATTCTGTTTACTTCAGTCCAGAATTCTCCGTCCTCTGGGTATGCTGTAAATCATGCTAAAAGTGGTTCAGTGATACCTACTTTCGCTAGCTTGGTGAGTATAATGTGGTGTGGGATGCTATCAAAAGCTTTGGTCAAGTCCAAGAAGATAACGTGGACTGATTGTTTGTTGTCCCATCTAGCAGTCCAGCCATCCCAAGCGGTCATCAAGTTTGTGGCATATGACCTCCCGGATCTGAAGCCACGCTGGGTGGGATCGCAGATATTGTTTCTGTTAAGGTAGCCCTAAACAACACCTGCAACCAGGCTTTCTATTGCTCTGGAAAGTATGGGGAGCAATGCCATTGGTCTGCAGTTACACAGGTGCTTTTGGTCTCCTCCCTTGAAGACTGGTGGCGGGGGGGGTGCGTTTCCATTCTTTGGGGAGTTGGCTTACTTCCAGCCAGTTCATGGACAGGTTGCACACGGGTATGCTTAGCACTATGGTACAGTTGAGTGGGACAACCGGTTTTACGGCGTCACAGACCGGGGATTTCCTTATTCTCAGTGTCAATAGTTTCGAAAACATTTAGTTTGACGAAATCTTTACGTACACCAGCTTTGCATCGCAGTCCTGGGACTTTGTTACACTGCTAAATGTTAATAGTGGACGTATTACTGGTTTGAACTGCCCGTCAAATCGACTTCTCAACAGTTCCGCTATCTCAACGCTGTTCACAAGTTCTCCCACCGGCCCTATGGTCAGGTCTAAGCCCTTATTCGTCGGTTTGCGTTGTTACAAAAGCCGATACAGACTTTTCGGATTGCAACTTAACTGTTTAGCCAGGTTACTTCGATATGTATACCTGTCATTACGAACTCTTACATAACACAAGTTGCACAAGTTGGTTTGTACCGTTTGATTGGAGTAGCAGAGATCACTTGGCATTCTTTTCCTGTACCAGCTTTTCAGTTACGGAAGGATACGCGTTTTATAAAGTCAATCTCAGTCTTACCACCTGCCTCTAGAAGGTTTCTGGCAATCGCGGCAAGTCAGTGCCGAGTTCCTTCTTTCCCTTGGTACGTTAAACAGAAAATTTCGCAAACCATTATGATTCGCCATACCGTGCAACGTTCTGCCCAGAAGGTACTGGTGAAATCTGATTTAAAAAGGTATCAGCATGTGAGAGTGAAACTACGGAGCATGATTTTGGAGACGGAACGGAGTCGAGATGCGGTGTTAACTTTCATAACCATTCAAAGTGGTTTGCAGACGTCAATTTGAGTGAACAAACCCGAGGCTTTTCCTGGTTAAGATTACGGAGTTAAATGTTACAAAATGACCTCGATTTGCTGCAGTGGATTTTCGCCAACAGCGTGTGGGAAAAATGTGCGGATTTCAAGACTTTTCAGCCGATTTGTGGCAAAAGATATTTCATTTGTTTTTCGCTGTGCGTTTGCAGTAATATGTGGATCTCCATGGAGCACAACCCCATGACAGATTTGCCCAAGACTGTCAAGATCCACAGTGGGCTGGAGGTTTTAACGTAAGCTTCTTCCAGTGAAAATGCATTGCTCGGGGGTGGAATTCGGTTGTTTGAGAGGAGGTTTCATGGTGCCCATGCATTGAAACCATGATTACCCATCAAAGTCGACAGATGAAGGTGAGGTTTATCGACGCATGGCATCCAGAGAGGATGACTTCCCATGCATTTTCAAAGCTGTTCTATATGGGCTGCAACAACTGCTTGCTAATGCATCTATTTTATTTCAATTGTCGGCTACTACAGACTGTTGTGGTTTGTTTCCAGGTACCAACGTCTGGAACGATCGCGTGGTCTGTTCAGATCACCTAGAACAGCAGTTGCTTCGTATGAATTAGTAGGCTTTTGCATCACTTACGAAAAAGGGCTCGAAGGAATTAAATGCTTCCGTTGATTCGTCAGCACAGCGCAGGAGTGCGGATGGACCTAAAAGTACTTTTATCTGGAGTCTTACTCATCACGTATCCTCACTCCTGCGGAGTTTATTCAGACCTCGCTCGGTTTCCCATCATATAATGCGGTGGCACATCCAGAAGAATGAAGCTCCTTTGGTAGGTTACCACATGATAGCTAGTTAAAAGTTTAACTGAATTGCGTGAACATCAAACCTGCTGGCCTTCCGCTGTCGGCGGGTGTTATGCATACCTCGATAGCAATCAGAATACCCCCTAAATGAGAGTTCCCAGCCTGAAGATCATGTCGATGGGGTACTAAGAGTTTATGTGTTATGATGTGACTTAGCACTTTATCAGGATGTTTATGTTTGAAAAAACTTGATGATTATGCCAGTTACGCCCAAAAGATGAGTTTTACGCCAACCGAAGATGGCTGCTTGTTACGGCTGGGCTGTTTATATCATCTATCTAGTTTCTGCGGCAGGTAGTTTGGGAAAAGGATATATTGAAAAGCTTACTAAATGTCTTCTCAACAGTGTGCGCTGACAAAGATAACAGTCTCGGACGAATATCAATAGGACCCCTACATTTTCCAGGCTTAGGATAACCAAGCAATTGGGGAGCTGTTCCGTTTCTCATACTTACTCCATACACTGGCTGGGGTGCTATTACAACCCCTGGGTGTGCCATTGCTTTGACCAACAAGGTAAATGTTGTCAAGTAAATCGGATTATCCGTTAGCTTCCGACAGTTATGAACTCACCAAGTCATGTAACCTCTCATATTTCATCACGCATAGACTTCCAACGCTCCTTTTCGTCTTCTCTTCAATAATTACGAACGGCTGCTTGGGACAGCTTACGGTGTCACTCGCAATCTATTTTTCTCACGGTATTGGACACCGTTTACCTTAAGTTCTAAGTGGATTCTGGATATTGAAGTGCTCAGTTTAAAATGCTTTCGGTACTGCCTCTATTGCCCCACAAGCGTTTCCTCCTTCGTTTTCTTCGATATGCCAGTCAACCCCCTGGGTAAGGGACAAGACCAAAGTCCTTATGGGGTCGATTACGGGAGAAATGAAAGATTCACCCCCGGGAGCGTAATCCTAAATCCATTCCAGACTTTGTCGATTGTTTAGTCCTAACTGAGAGTTTGATCCCTGCTGACTGAGTAATCCTTTATATCCTATGTACATGTGCTGTACATGCTCAGTCCAGAATGTACACCGTCATAGTCCAACTTGTAAGTTGAAAAGAATAACGTTAACACAACATGACTGCCATGTACCATTGGGGAGAAGTGCAGTAGATCAACAACACCCACACTTTGCCGAGCTAAGATTAATTCTGATAATAACGGTATCACACAAGTAAGGCTTTAAACTAAGATGGCCCCATCACAGTCAAAAAAGCTCTCTTTCCAAGCAACCGACTGGGTGTGAGATTTTATGAGCTGTCTGGTTTATGTGTCAAGCCCTCAGGCCCCCGCCCCTACTTTCCATTTCACCTCCTTAAGTGCAGTGGTATAAAGCCATTCGCAAGGCAAGATGGGCTCCGGTCAGTTGGCGAGTAATACATATTTCTTGACTGGAGTTTAGCTCGCAGATGGCCACTCCAAAAGTGCTCGGCCTATTTGCTTCCCAAATCTTTGATTGCACATATAATTCAATGCAAACTCAAGCAGTATACCTCTATCACTGACCCTCACAACCCTATAAATCACGATTCCAGAATACCCCAATGGGAATCGGAAAAATTCTTCGGCCACCGTGGGCCACGTCTCAGTAAAGGCCTACCATTTTAAAAACGAGTTCATAAGCTGACGCGGCCAGACCTTAAACTTTGTTCCAAATGGCCCAAGTATTGGAATGGGACAGGCCCTGAAAGCATGTGCTTCAGAAACTCTCCAAACCGGAAAAGCCTAATTACGAGACTGACTTCTCCCTTTTACTACCCATGTCTTAGCACTACCAGTGATTTATTCCTTGTCTGATCGTTGAAAAGGCAGCAACTGCAGAGGCAACGTTCAAAATACACTTTGGGAGGTACTGTTCAAGCGTACACTCCTCTCCTATGTAACACGAAAAATTTCAGGATCCTTTGTTCGCGATTACTCAAATCGACCAGAAACATCGTTACCATCAACCATTCCGCTCAGATGATAAGTTCAAAATATAACTGGTAAGTACGCTTGGCCCGGTTATGGATAACTTACGATACACACAACAAAATGATTTTTGACAAAAGTTTCACGCCGAAATGGTTGAAACGTGATTCCGTTGAAAATAACCACTCCTAGCTAGACCGAGGGGACTCTAGTGGAGCTAAATGCAACAGAAGTGCGGTATTGTGAAACGTAAAGAACAAATAATCCCTTCGGAAACATGAAGAGTTTGCCAAAACACCAGTAGAACTCGAAAGGTGACTGAAACTATGACATCAAGAGCAAAAGTGAAAATTTTCAAAAGGACGGGTGCATGTGTACTCGTTGTTAAACAAAGGAGGGGATAAGCATCTCAGTGCTGCGTTGAGGGAAACGTGACACTTTCACCCTAGCTGAAGGTATTTCTGCGCAAAACCGAGGTTAAAGATAGAAGGCGTGGTACCTCAGACTGTTGTCAAGACCCTTTGAGGCCAGACAACGGAACCACTTAGAAGAGTTCACGGCCTTTATCTATGACCTCACTTTACACAGAACTCGTTTATCGTGAGATAAGTTGTTTATCGAGATGTGAGGCCAAAAAGCCTTTTGAACAAGGTTGTAAATTTGGCATACATCACCATTCTACTGGCTATGGTGGATAGTTTCAACAGAAATGCTGATCGATGAAATTAAACAAATGTAAAGTATCATGAAATTTTTTGAGGTTTTTGGCCACACGAACCTCATCTGTCGCGAACATGTGGCGGGAATAAATGAAAGCCTGATCGGTTAGCCATCACTATGCTTCAGAGACCACAATGCATTAGATAACTCCACTTCAACATCTGATTAAGATAAACTAAAGATAAACTTAAGGGAACTTCTCACGAGCTTTGAATCGAAAATAGTAAGGTGGGGGTTAGGAATCATACTCAATCCCTGAGGGTAGTAAGGACCTTAAATGCTCTCCCTGTATGGTTTATTCGGGCTGCATAGTGGGAGCCTTACAAATGCAAACGCTTTGTCTATTTAGGTTAGGGCGGCTGTCGTCCCTGATCTCTCCAGTTGCGAAGGTCATGAAGAGAGTCATAAATGACTCACTTCGTGATCACTTACTTCAGAAATCAATCCTAAACAACTGTCAACATGGCTTTCCACCAGGAATGTCATGTAACACCAACTTGTTGATGGCTTGGAATAGCTGGACACTCTCCATCAAGCAGAAAAAATCTATTCATATTGGTTTACTTGACTTTTCTGAGGCCTTTGACAGGGTCAATCATGATATCCTCTGTAAGAAACCCCAGCTTATGGGTGTACACGGAGAATTATTAATTTGGCTTAGAGGTCATCTGTACACCAGGGTGCAGTCAGTTAGAGTTGGCTCCTCTTTATCTAATTGGTCCCCGATACTGAGTGGTGTGCCTCAAGGTTCCATACTGGGCCCACTACTGTTTCTTGCTTTTATCAATGACCTACCAGGGGTCCTTAACTCACATTCACTAATATATGCCGATGATCTGAAGATTTGTGGGTAAATACAGGAGCTAACCGATAATTCGGTCTTCAAGGAGGACCTTACGAAAGTCCTTAATTGGACTACAGAAAACCTGCTTCCTCTCAAGTCAAAGAAGTGTCGAATTATGATAGTTGACAGACATAAAGGCAGTCCCAGTTCTTGCTCTCTGGGTGAAATAAATATCTGTCACTCTAACATAGAACAAGATCTGGGGGTTACACTAGGCGATACACTAGGAGCCTCAGTCCCCTGTCACCTTGCAGCCAATAGGCTTATGGAATCCTGGGATTTCTCTCGCGAACTTTAGGACGTCTAACTCCCCCTCCTTTCACCACATTGTATGCTGTGTACATTCGCCCTCATCTAGAAAAAATTCGCTTGTGATGTCCCCTTCTAAGCTTTGGTCGGGAACGCGACCTGAGGGGTCACCTGTTAAGAATAGAGCACTAGAGAGCATGTACAAAGATCCGTGCTAACTCATTTGCAGTTAGAGTCTGTAAACTGTGGAACTCCCTCCCCTCAGCAGTTGTTACAGCTCCATCCCCTGAAACTTTTTAAAGGAGGTTAGACGCACACCTAGAGTCCTAAGGTACTAATGGGCTGTACTGGAGAGCTTTCCGCAGATCAGATGCAGTAATACTGCCTTGAGACCAGATTAATTAGTAATCGTATCTCTATCCTATTAAGTTTTTCAGAACCGGGAAGATATTTGTGACCATTTCAAACTCAGAACATATTCCAATAAGACAGGCGTAGAACCCAAGGAACCGCCGTTCACTAATTCTATTACACGAAGTTTGAAGACTTGAGTTTGACCTACAGACGGCCTATCGCACATAGCGCGGCTATTTGGATTATTGTGCTAAATCAGAATGGTAAGCGTTGTCCTATCCTACTGAATTGTATTCAGACTTAGATGTAGAAGAAAGTGGGCATGAAAAGAAAAAAGTGCTTGGCCAAACGAAAATTAAAAAGGTTGTGGTTCACCCTCTAGTTCTGTTAGGGTCGTTGATCATTATAGCAGATCAGGCAAAGTTACAAGCGGTCAAAACGAGTCGTCGGAGTTCTTTTAGGATCATTAAATGGAACTACTTTGGATGTAAGCAACAGCTTTGCAGTTCCTTTCGAGGAGGATAACTCAGACCCTGATGTTTGGTTTCTTGACCATGATTACTTGGAAAGCATGTTTGCTATGTTCAAGAAAGTCAATGGTAGTTCCCCTTTTTCTTTATACCTGTTTCATTTTAGCTCGAGAAAAGATTGTGGGTTGGTATCATTCGGGTCCTAAGCTTTGCCCAAACGATATAAAGATCAACGAGCTCTTCCGCAAGTATTCTCCGAACTCAGTATTGGTTGTTGTTGATGTTAGGAGAAAGGAAGTCGACGGCTTACCCACCGAAGCGTACATTGCTGTCGAAGAAGTTCACGATGTAAGTTCTAGTCGCTGGTAGCAACCTGACTTTGGATATCATTTTCGCATGAGATTTAACTTGTTTTCTGTGGGAAGAAAGTATTGCTTGACAGTTGTTTGGTTCGTTACCTTATTGTAAACCGCCGGATGTAGATTTTTCCTGGTTAATTTTGTTGGTGATGAGTATGCTACTATGCGTCGCGTTTATTGTTTAACTCAAAGATAATCAAGCAAGTATTTTGTAATTGCCTGTAGTCAGCTTTGACTAACTTAAAACCATTCCTGGATGCTGCGATGGTATTAAAGTTGAAAGTAGGTGATGCTCAGCAACCACATGTGGCATGTGCAAGGTCGCAAGTCTATTTCAAGGGCTAGCTACCTATCACCATGTGTTAATCTTTTATTGCTACTAACGAACTTGCACTCATTTGCTGCCCGATTCGATCTTATTACATTGTCGTAAGGTTCATATTTCCATTCAGAAATTCACTACACGTTGACAGCCTAGTGATATTGAAATGCTTGCTAACATGATATTGAAACAGGCAGAATGTTCATTCTGTGTTACGTAGGTAGGATGACTCCTTATTTTTGAGTTAGAACGTCATAGTTGTCTTTCACTCTTATGATCCTGCATATACACAGGGTAACACTTTCGACGTAACCGTAGTCTAAGAACGTGAGCAATTGCGCTTCACTCATATCACTTTTAGGAATTCGCTGCGATCGCATTCTGGTAACTGCATGTTAACATGAGCCATTTGCTCAGTGTGCTTGTACGTTATTTCTTCGACAGATGGATGTCACTTCCAGCACTCAGACAGTGTAGCAACTTTGTTGGCTCAACAATGCTCTTAAGTTCCGCTCTATTATTTTTTTTTATCCAGTGGCTATTGCGATAGGATTTAATAATTTACTACTGTAGCTAAAAACTACAGACTGATGCAAGTGACAGAATATAGGTTTATGGTACCATCTGGTTACTGAGGTCGAAGTAGGTGCAGCGGAATATCAGCCCAAATCCTATTGCTTCTGAGTTGAGCATTTAAACCAGCAGACTATCTACACTCAGTCGGTTACCAATGAATGTTGGTCACATAACGATTGTGTTTTAAGTATAAACGAAGTAAAAAAATCAGGTAGCTGAAGTTACTTGGGAATATATGCGGCTTTCCTTATCTGCCTTTAATAACAGTGCTGTCTAGTTAACTCTAATGATTCTGCACATGATCTCCAGTCGCTTGTCAGATTTGTCTCCGCTTATTTTATACCCACACTTGGTCGTTATACAGTTACCAACTGCCAGTTCATTTGGTACGTGTTTAGCAAAAAATTAACTGCGTAGTGATTTTTGTTGTTGTCGAAAGACAAAATAATTTTAAAACTTGCAACTCTTTTTAAGGATGGATCGCCAACAACAAAGTCGTTTGGTCATTTGAGATCTGAAGTTGATGCTGAGGAGGCTGAGGAAGTTGGCGTGGAACATTTGTTGCGGTAAGATTTTGTTTATTTTGTTTGTTGTTGTAAATAGTTACTGCCAGTTTCGGTTGACAGTTAAATTGCATTGATTCATCACTAGAGAGTAACCGATTTCATGTTGTGTAGTCCCGAGTTCTGCCGATTTCTACTGATTGTTTTGTGATATATTGCAGATGTGCCTTGCCGACGACTGTCAACAAACCCGAAACCTAGGCTCAGTGCTTTCTGCTGATTGCCTCCAACCGTGTAACATTAGTTAAAATTTCATCTAATACTTCATGGTCGCGGTTGGAGACGGTGTGTCTCAAGATATATGATTAAGATTGAGGACATTACTAAGCTTGTAGCAAATGTACTGATTTAATTAGGAAACAGCGGTTGACAACTGGAAGCCTTCAACAAACTTTTTCAAAAGCCTCGAGATTTCCAAAATATCCAAACTGATTGCTTCAAGAAAACTCTTCGGTTGTCTCTAACTATAATGAGGAGGGAAAGCGACTTAAACGTAAGTTAACGTATAGTCTTTGTAATAATGGTGACGAAAATAAAAAGGGATGAGGTCAGTGACTCTAGGCACTGCGTAGTAGTTATTCATGTTGATTCAAGAAACCGACACGAAAAAACAACCACCAATGAGACTATCATCGAAGAGAATTAGTTTTTGATGACTTCAGTGGGTGAAACTTGTACGTTGGGCGAAACAGTTCAACTGACCTAAATCCAAACTCCGTTTGCCTTACATCCAGCCAACGCGAACCTGGATGAGATGTAGATGTTGGGTCTTAAACTGTTCTCAAGGATGAGAAAGTTGTTTCAAACGTGAAAGGATCCAAAGCAACAGGACCTGACAGTTCGTCACCGGATTGTTTTTAAGGATTGATGTAGAAAATTACTCTGTAAACCAACTGATTCATAGAAATCTGAAATACTTTTGTCATACTGGTCTAAATCGATTCACAGTTTGAGGATAAACAGCGAAATGGTGGAAAATGTTGACTACTTCATTTACATGCGATGATTTGTAAACCTGAATTGGTCGGCTGCTGACGAAGTCTCAGCTTAGATACAATGGGTGTGTTTGACATTTACTGACCTAACACTTATTGTGTTGGTGAAATATCCTATCAAATCAAAAGATGAGTGTATTGCACAGCAGTTGGCGCTATGTTGTACACTTGTGAGACGTTGTCGTTGAGGGTAGGGAACTTATAGAAGTTACAGGCTTTTTTCCCGCCAGTATTTTCGTACTGTTGGATGCATATGGCTGGATCATCTTTTAGTGACGTGGCTGTATCCACTCATCACCTTGATCTTAATCGTCACATTGACTTTCTGTATTGTTATCCCTCCATGCTGTCTTCTGACGACTTGCCTGCTTTCCTTAATTCTTTGATTTTCATTTTGTTTCTTTCTCGCTTGACTTGCTGAAGATGTAACAACTTAGACCATTATACAGTAGTGCCAGGTCATACTTTTATACTGTCTATCTGTCTAGTTGAGTCATTTGAACAGTGCACAGGCTAGCCATATAATACTAGACAAGGAAAGTGAGCCTATTGGTGAAACTGAATCGAAGTGGTTTGGATATGTATTGTACATGCTATGGCGCCACCTACTTTAGTGTTTTATGATAGTCGAAGTGACATGAGATGGCAGAAACCTAGTCGTAGCCACACCAACACGTATCACCAGTCGATGGGGTCTTTGACCGTAGGTGTGATCTATGTAGATATAGACTACCTTATTTTGGTCATTGGGACGATAGAAAATGATAGTTGTGGGGTCTCGGTGATGTTGCTAGAAAATGTTCACATTGGTACACTTCTTATCGTCGAACTTCTGAGCATTTTCACTAGCTGCTTATTCATTCTTTCTCATACGCTTTCGTCCACGTTAGTGTCATTCTTTCTCTCTTTAATTTTTTGTATGCATCCTGCGAGTAGGTGACAAATTAAAGTGATGCATTTCTGTGAAATATCTTACTTGAGAACATGTTTATGTCTTTACCAGATCATTTGAGCCTATGAGTCGAGTACCTAAGATATTGACAATTAAAGGTAGTGTCTTGAAAGAGACTTAAAATGTGTTGGCTCACGAGAAGCGTGTGAAGGATGTTAATTTAGACTTATTGACTTAACATTGGAACCAGCACAAGAGTGATTTTTCCTGATTAAGTGTAGCTCTGCCTAATTGCAATAGGCAGTTTGTTTTCAACCATTCATTTACAAGTTCGTGGAATTACCTATCGTATTTTGAACAACCAAGTGTTATAGATTTTGCTTATACTAGTTTGTAACATATAGTTACTATTCTTGATGCATCTCTTACTTTTGGAAGTCCAAAATTGACGGTTTTTGGCATATTCAGGACTTTGATGGAAGTAATCTCTCGTCCCTCGGGGCCACGTCATCCATTGACTACCCACTTCCAGCCAGTCCAAAACCAAGCGAGTAGTGAGTAGTGTGGGAGGTGCTGAGGCGACATGCGTAACGTACTCCATCACGCCTCAGCGTATTCTTAGAAGTCTTACAAAGGTAACAGTGACCTGACGTGCGAAATGGGCGAATATCTTCAGCTTGGAGAGGCTAAGTTTTATGGGAGTAAATCTGTTCCTAATTGCTCTAGGCACTTGATCTCCAACCTAAAGGTCACACGTTCGAATCCCGCTCCGCTTACCGAGATACTGGCAGCCAGGTGGTATCATTACCTCCCTTACAATGCATGTGGCTCATTGGCTACTGCACGAACGTGTGAAACGTTGAGTGCGTTCCGTTCCGTAATGCCTTTACTCGACCCTTTGAGAACAGGTTAACGTCACAATGCTGCAAAAGATGACCCAGATTGGCTTTCAATATACAATTGGGAAATACATTATGCACACATTCATCAGCACTCACACAACCACCCAGGTGCACAAACTTTTTGACAACCTCCAACGGTTTACAGCCAAGGCGAATTGTCGATACAAGCTACTGTCAACCATGTAGAAGCACTTTGCACTTTGGTGGTGCGAAGCACATACCATAATTACGCATATTGATCGCGAACTGACTGAGTGCAATTTGAGTAGATTGTATGTTGTCGAACAGTAAAACGAGGTCATCCGTATACTTAAGGTCAAAAAGTTCTTCATGTGGTAGCAGGTCTACACCACTGCCACCACGCACGTTCTGTGGGGTTGTCTCACGATCTTCAGCAGTGTATCGACGAGGGCCTAAAAATTGCAGGGAACTCGCTGAGACGCATCGTTTAGTGGCGGGACGTTCTTCGAAGCGGCATGCAGTTCTGCTCACCGTTTTTAAGGCGTCTTGTAAATGCCTCCAATGCTCATCTGTGCTTTCTGGATTTGAATCCAACTAGGTTTGGTACTTAGTTGCAATACCAGGTGCAGCTCGTTTACTTACGTCGGCCAGTTCAAGAAGAAGTTTTCGATAAGTACCAAAAAGCGAGATAAACCTAACTCACTAAAGCGTGTTAAGAGTCCGAACGAGTGCACTAGAAGAAGTGGCAGTTCTGAATACACCCACGCCATTGGTAACTGGTTGCCCGACCGATAGCTGCTATCCCGACCGATAGCTGCTACCTTGACGTGGTGGTCGGGCTTGCATATCACAATGACCCAACGAGCTATGCTGGTGGAACGCTTGTTCCCTCGAGGTCCTACCATACCAGAAAGGTCTGTTGGGTAGTGGTTAGACGAAAAGCAGTTACCGTCATAGTGTAAATTGCTACACTATGATGGGGGTCTGAGGGCGAAGTCGTACTGCTGCTAGCTGGATGGGGTGTGACAGCAGTAAGGTGTTTCCCTTGGATGACCAGCAGTGCCAAGCTGATGCTGCCTTCTCAGTGGAAGGGGGGGTTAGAAAAGGTCGGCCCCAAAAATAACACACTCCACCACGCCCCACGGTCTGCCGGGCCGGCGGTGTTGGTTCACTTGTCGTTTCCTTTCGCTCATCCGGCCCCAAAAATACAAAAATTCAAAATAATCATACTCAAAAGGCTGGGTGTGACAGGCCTCAAGCAGATGTCCGATGGGCTCTGCGGTCACACAAATCTCTTTCAGGTACCTTAAGAAGAAATAGCCTTCCACGGTGTGGGCAGCCGGGAAGTGTCAACCGCCCTCACAACTCTGTCAGCACCCAAGTTTCTTCTGACTGCTATCCTCCTCCTCCATCATTACCTTCTAATCTTCCTTCACGTCTCTTAATTAATGATGCTGCATCATCTTCAATTTCTCCTACCTCTGCAGCCTTCGACAACGATCTGAGTCCACAGAACAGTGTCCCTGGTCTCCTTAAACCACGCTCCAAATTACATATTGGAGCCTTCAATGTCCGCACCCTCCGTCAAATTGGCCAACAGGCTTCGTTGGCAAAGACTCTAGCAACTCGGGCATGGATGTGTGCTGTGTTTGTGAGACACGCATACAGGACCCAAGTGTGGTTATTCACCTGACCTCTCCTGACCAATCTGGTGAATCTGCAAAATTCACCCTTCGAGTTTCTGGAGATTCGATAGCTAGCTCTCGTGGTCTTGCAGGTGTAGGTATAGCATTAAGCACCAGGGCAGAAAACTCACTACTAGACTGGATCCCAGTTGATAGTCGCCTCTGCGCTATGAGGCTGAACGGCACAGTGAGAACTAAAAGGAATAGTGAGACTCGCCGTTGTCTCTTTGTAATCTCTGCTTACGCACCCACTGACTGTAGTTCGGATGAAGTGAAGGACGAGTTCTACCATAAACTGTCTAACCTCCTCTCGAAAGCCAAACGTTCGGACGTAGTGGTTGTTGCAGGTGACCTCAACGCACAGGTGGGTAGACTGAGTGAGGCAGAAAGGCACTTAGGTGGCACTTTCGGAATCCCAGCTGAACGTACAGATAACGGTGATCGCCTATTACAACTATGCTCAGATAACCGCCTATTTTTAGCCAGCACAAATTTCAGACATAAAGAAAGGCACTGTCTGACCTGGCGTCCACCGAGCTCGACTCAGCGATGGACACAGATAGACCAC